AGACCTTCCTAAAAAAAAAAAAAAAAAGTCTTGAATTTCAAGAAGCATTTATATCGGTACTGCCTAAAAAAAAATCTCTAAAATCTGCCACTTTCTCCCCAGACAAAGCTGGAGGCGTCCCCGAGCAGCAAGGCCGGTGCCAACGGGCTCTAGGCTGAGCCAGGACCCCCCAGTGTCATCTCTGCACCCCCTGGGAAGGGAAGAGCCCCTTTCCAGGAGGCTGTGTTGCACAGAAAGGTGTCAGTCACACTTAGGAGCCTCTCCCTCTGCTCCAAGCTCATTAGCAACTAGGCCACACTCAGGCTACCTGGATGGTACCAGCTTCTTATTTGTACTGGGCCCCCGCCCCCCCTGCCCCCATTTTAACTTATGTTGTAAATATGTTAATAATGACACTGTCCGTGCTGTCACTGAGCAGTGTTTGTGCTTTTGAACCTTAGGAAAGGCAGCTTTTCATTGGCGTGAAGGCCTGGGTACAGAAGGAGCTGGGCTGGAAGCCCAGTAAAGCCCAGTTTGAAATCCTCTGCGGGGCCATACCCACGGGGCCGGGGCTCACAGCCTGCCCCACTGCCACCGCAGCGCTACCAGCTCAGGCTCTTGCTCCCAGCTGGTGTGGTTTAACCAGTAACTGGTGCACAGAACGGGCCGTGAGGCTGTTCATTTCACAGTCACACTTGTCCCAAGGAGAAGCAGCAAAGCAAAGGGGGGACCAGCGCTCTCCTCAACGTGGGGTTCAGTTTAAAGGCTCAGAAAGACCCAAGAACCCGCTGGATGAGAGCGGGGCAGGGCAGAGCATGGTGACCACTGCCTGCCTTCCTCAGGAGAGCTGTGGGGCACGGCCAGAGAAGGCAGAGACCTGCCCTTCAGGACCCCTTGTTTCACGAGAGGAACCAACCCGGGGACCCTCACGCGTTGCCCACGTGGCTGAACCCCTCTGGGCTCAGAACTGCAGGGCAGAAGGTGCTCTGGGACTCACAGCACTTCACAGAGGGATCCTTCGCACACTCCAGCGTGGACTGGTTTTTGGTAGACTCTACAGGAGGATACTGGAAAGCTGGTTTTAGCATTCGTTAGGTTTTTTTTTTTTTTTTTACTTTGTCCTATGTAAATGTTCAGAAATTACTCATATTACGGATTTTAAATATATTTATACTTACTGTAAAATTAAAGTTAGACTTGGTGCTAAGTAGGAAGAAATGTCTTTTCTAGAGGTCAGACAGCCTTCAGAACAATCCTACTGAAAAAAAAACAAAGCCAGTCATCTCCAGGTGGGGCGTTATCAGCACTTTAAGCTCTCAGTGTCCGTCCTCCCGCCCAGCGCTTGTGTCTCGCTGTGGTGGGTCCCTGAGAACAAGTGTTATTTCAATAAAATAACCCTTTGCTCAAGTGTGGCTCCTGTCTCTGTGCAGCGCGGGGGAGACCTTGCTGGTGGCTGTCACTCTGCTGAGACAGAGCAGCCTTTGGCTGGTGTTTCTTGGCTCCTTGGTATCGCCCCCAGTTGCCGTTATTTGAAGAGAAGTGTGATGGAGCAGCTTCACCTCAAAAAGCGTTTTGTCCACCCAAAGAGCCACCTACAAGTGTTCAGTGCAAGGCCTCCCTGGTGTTGAGCACTGAGGTGAGTGTGCAGAGGTAACAGAGGTAGAAAATTTCTATATTCTGGGTTGAGTGTGTGGACAGTGGGGTGGAATTCCCAAATTGGAGGTGAGTGGGGGGTGCTGGGCGAGGGGAGAGGCTGCCGTGTCCCCTCAGGAGCCGCAGCCTTGGTTTCCTGGAGCGTCGTGTGGAGCTTGGAGGGGAGCAGAAGAGCACTGTTTCATTTGGCCTTTTAACTGTCTCGTTCTGCTCCCATGGAGCACCAGGAACGGTGTGAGAAACCAGAGGGTGATTCAGTTTGGGTCACTTCTGGCCCTGATGCCTCTGCTTTGTTCAGATCCGTCACGGCGGCCGGCGGCCCAGCACCCAGGAGATCGTGCGCTTCTCCAAGCTCTTTGAGGATGAGCTGACCCTGGAGCACCTGGAACGGCCGCAGCTGGTAGCTCTTTGCAAATTGCTTGAGCTGCAGCCCATTGGCACCAACAACCTGCTCCGCTTTCAGCTGCTGCTGAGGCTCAGGACCATCAAGGCAGATGATGAGGTGAGCTCAGAATCGCACAGATGTAACTGCTTTGGTGGAGTGCACGCTCTTCAGTCTCAGGGTCTGCCCTCTGATGTGTCACTGCCCACACTCCAGCCTCACACCTGAAGTTTAATGTTGATGGAGGTTGGATTCTCCCCAGGAGAGATCCCAGAAAAACCCAGAATGCGAGTTCATCTTCCTGCCCCCTTCCTGCCTCTAGTGACCCCTAACAAGCGTGGTGCTGCAGATCCTGTCACTCTGGGGAACACCCTCATTATTATTCTGGAGTTGTACCAACTTGTAAAAAAGGAAGGTTCCAATTCTGGAATAAATACTGTATGGGAACAGCAGATTTTAACCAACTGAATTCAGTAGGAATTTCCATTAGTTTATAAGGTGGACGGGGCAGTTCTGTCCCATCTCTGTGTTGGTGTGACTTTATGCAGATTTACCTAAAGAGCCATTCCTTTGGCCTCAATCTCATCGAGTGCATCAGGGTTTTGGCTTCCCCTGTGCCGAGGCAGGAACGTTCCTTTTCCTTTCAGATGATTGCCAAGGAAGGAGTCAATGGCCTGAGCGTGTCCGAGCTGCAGAGCGCGTGCAGAGCCAGAGGAATGCGGTCACTGGGGCTCTCAGAGGAGCAGCTGAAGGAGCAGCTGAGGCAGGTGAGTGCTCTCTGCTCTGGCCTTGTTGGACGAGGTTTCTCCTGGGACAGAGTGGTGGGTTCAGTTAGAGCAGACACAGCTTCACTAAGAGTTACACAAGTGTTTCTAGACGGATCCTCACCTCCGTGGCTGAGCTCTAAGGCATGATGTGTCCAGATTATGTCTTAGACTGAGGAGAAAACCAAGTAGCATCAGGGCCAGCTACAAGCAAGATGAAGCAGGGGGTGGAATATGTTTTAAACTTCTAAAGTAGCCAAGACTTCCAGTAGAGCCAACGCTAGTCCTCAAAACTGTTTCTTCTCATTTTGGTAACTTAGAACTGTATGAGCCAAACTCAAGAAGGCTTTAAGATCTTTAAGGACAAAGAATGCTCTAGAAATAAGTGCTGACACAGAGCCAACATGAAGTACCTTTTCCTTCTGTTTTCTTCTTACAGTGGCTGGATCTGCATTTAAAAGAGAACGTTCCACCTTCTCTGCTCCTGCTTTCCCGTGCCTTGTACTTAATAGATGTAAAGCCACAACCTGTTCCCGTCCCACAAAATAAGGTGAGTTGTTTGAATGAAACTTCCAGGTTAATAGTTTAACCATTGCACACTGTAAAAATGAAGCTCTGTGACATGAATCTCGTTCTTTGATGCTCCAAGTGGACTGAAGTTATGACTGCACTGCACTTTGTGTTCTTCCTTAGACAGGTGAAGCTGCCGACGTGGTGACATCTGTTCCCGAAGGTCCAGAGACACTGGTGGATCCTGCCCCTGTTGCACAGGGAAGAAAGGTTAGAAATCAGCCCTCTACAAGTAGGAAAATGGGTGTTTAGTGCTGTAATCATTGGGAGGAGCATGTGTAAAAACCTTGCTAAAACAGACAAACCCAGTGTTTGACCCCACTGCACAGAAGCGATGCGTGTTCTTGTACGTGGGTTTGCCCAAGAGCTTCCCAGTTGCCTGCTCTGGGTTGAGAGACACGAAAAGGTCCAGAGCTCTGCTGTGGTGTGTCTTGTCCTCTTGCTGGAAACACCTGGTTATTCAGCCCCGTGTTGGTGGCTTCCAGCAGAGGAGCATCACAAGCTTCTGAGTTGCTGCATTCACATAAATCCAGAGACTTCAGTCCAGGCACATTTAGCCCAGAGAAGACAGTTAAAGGTGACTCGTTTTCATCTCTCCTGGTGAACTTGGGCTGCCCAGGACAGAGTCTCCAAAAAATCTCTCGAATAAGAAAGGCAGAGTATATGGTTCTTGGCATAAGGCTAAAGTGAATTCCTTACATTAGTCCAAGCTGCTAAAAGCAACAACAGAAGTTAAAGGAGAATTTTGTGTCAAGTGCTAGAAATATTTGCCAGTAGCTCTGGGAAGTTGGGTGGGGGGAGCCATGGAAAGGCCGACACAGAGATGGGGCTGAGGGGGCCTGGCTGGGGCTTGGCTTCCCCAGGGGCTTCTCTGCCTTAAAGCTGCTTTTGCCTTAAAGAATGAAGAGTTCCTGTCTCAGCCAGCAGAGAAGGTGCCGGTCTCAGAAGTGTCAGTTAAGCCTCCCCCACGAGAGGTAAGCTTTTCAAAGCTCTTAAACTTCCCAAAGGAGATTGTTTGTCACACAACTGATGATCACACAGTGGAAATACAAGGTGTGAACATTGAGTTCACGGAGCGACTGGAGAAATTGTGGATGAAAACTGTGTTGAGGGCTGTTAAACACAAACACAGTCAGACTGGGGAAGGTGGAGTATTTCTACAGGGACTTACCTTTTCTTTTGCCCATTTTCTTTCTGTGAAAGTTTGATTTCCATCTGGCTGCTTATGCTTACACCTGGGATGCCCACCTCAGGTAGGTGTGGGGGTCCAGACTGACTTTTATCAACAGGAGAACGCTCCTTTACCCTGAAGAACTTTGTTCTTAGTTGGCTGTTATTCTCCAGAGCAGCTTCCCATAGTAAATGGGAAGAGACCTTCCTAAAAAAAAAAAAAAGTCTTGAATTTCAAGAAGCATTTATATCGGTACTGCCTAAAAAAAAAATCTCTAAAATCTGCCACTTTCTCCCCAGACAAAGCTGGAGGCGTCCCCGAGCAGCAAGGCCGGTGCCAACGGGCTCTAGGCTGAGCCAGGACCCCCCAGTGTCATCTCTGCACCCCCTGGGAAGGGAAGAGCCCCTTTCCAGGAGGCTGTGTTGCACAGAAAGGTGTCAGTCACACTTAGGAGCCTCTCCCTCTGCTCCAAGCTCATTAGCAACTAGGCCACACTCAGGCTACCTGGATGGTACCAGCTTCTTATTTGTACTGGGCCCCTGCCCCCCCTGCCCCATTTTAACTTATGTTGTAAATATGTTAATAATGACACTGTCCGTGCTGTCACCGAGCAGTGT